AACCCCTGCCCCCCACTATCTTCATCGAGATCCCTTTTCTTCCGGTTAACGATAGATCCTTGATCCAGACGTCGCTTTTTTGCTAGTCTTGCTCTATTCTTGTTTTCCACGAGTTTGCTTAAGCAGTTGACAAAGTTATCGCTAACTCTACCTTCCTCCAATCTTCTGTTCATAAGAGTTGTCTACATTTATAATGGATAAAAAAATATATACCGAGAAGATGGAACATATTCTACGAGACAGGACGACATATCGTATACTAATCAAGGACCCAACTATGAAGCTGAATGGAATCTTAAGTGCCATGCTGAAAGATATGCATAGAAGCGGAGAAATTGACGCATGGACAAGAAATGCAATCATAAGAAAGGATGCACGGCCCCCAACAGCATACGGATTGCCAAAGATACACAAAGAAGGCGAGCCACTAAAGCTGATAGTCAACAAATGTACAGAGCAACACACAAATTAGCTTGAAACTCAAAAAAATAAATGAGAGGCTACCAAACACGGTGAAGGATTCATATAAAATTTCTCAGAAAATCAAAAACGTGACATTGGAAGAAACGGACTTATTGGTAAGTTTCGATGTGGAATAAATGTATACAAATATCTCTGGAGAGAATGCACTAACGGCCTGCTGGAAATCCTAGACCTAGAATAGGATATCATGGAATCGCATGGGAGGCAACGCCCTTCAATCAGGTGAGCCTGGCAAAATCTTGCCAGTGAACTTTAGGATCATTTTGATTGGAGATTAAGAACCTAAAATAGCTGGGCAATTATATATCCTCTTATTTTAGCAAACCTTTTGCACAAAAATACCCCCCATTTGGAAGCCTATTTAGATTCTGATCTATGGCTTTGCAAAATATTGGGGCAAGCTCACCCCACAGGAATCCATAGAGACTCATTAGAAAAAAATTGTGGTTAATCTTCAGAACGTAATATATTGATTTTTTTAATAGTGGTTAATTGTATTTTATGAATGTAATTTTATTGCAAATATGACTTTGAATAGGCAATATAACCGACATTAAAATGAGCTGACGGGAACTTAGGCATATCGTCCATGCGTATCCAAAGATCCATTAGAACTTAACTTGCCGCCTCATATGTCGTGTACCCAGAAATAATATGCTTAATTTAGGCTATCGTTGCTGAGCTAAGGTCTGCGCAAGAAGAGTAGAGCTTCACTATTCAGCATAATTTCCCCTAGCCTTTCCTTTCTGGAGGGACTGGAACTTCGGCATCGACAGGCACCATCAGTGCTCTTAAGTGTACCAGAAACCAGTTAAATCACATCAAATTTCAACTTCTCCACTTAGCAGCAGAGCATGGACAAAATGTGACCACAGACAGGGTGGGATTAACTCAATTCAGATTAAAAAAGGTGGTGTGTGCTGATCATACAAACTTGCATATGCCACCCGAATCAGAGGTGAAATTCCATCACCTTTTGAAATTCAAGAGAGTTTCGAGCAAACAGCGAAACAAGAGGTGACCATTAGGTTGGCCACTACTAAAATAGCTCCTGGCATGACTAATAAGTTTAGTGAGTTAAAATCATTCTTGCGATGCTGAGGGTCAACATTGCAAGAGTACTTATCGCAGATATAAATATAAATTGATAGCATAGAATACTACTAAAATTCGGTTTTAGAGGATCAGTTAATCAAGAATGGATAAATAAAACCAGTGTCGACACTTAGACATGTCCTCTTGGATAAATGCATATTTTTATCAAACTTTTATTCAGACTATTTGAAATATGCAATTTTGAATTGCGTATTGGCAACTCTGCACAAAGGCTTTCACCACATAAACACTATATATTTCGAAGGTATGAAGACCAAGATGGTGTGGCCCTTTGTGTGGTCGCAGACAATGGACTCCGGACTAGGTGAGTTCCTCTAAGTCTTTCTACCGATATGACCGAGTTGCGAAAACAAGGTCAAACAACTACTATATATTTCATTGAAGCGCCTAGCATACCAAGCCCATCTTCTCCCCATATCCGGAAATGGCTTAGGGGCAGTAAAATTCGCTTTATTTGCCGTGCTATCTACTTCCAAACCATCGTAAATTGCGGGAATAGCAAAACTTCTTAAGTTAAATCGATTTTTTCCACCATTATTGTTGCGATATTTTTCTGCATCCGATGCTGCTGCGCTTACTATTTATTTTAATATCGCTTGGGCATACCCTCAGACACCATAGTAGGTACTTTGGCCTGATGGCGTCAAGCATCGTGGTAGAAGAGGGCTTAGAAATATAGCAAGCAGGTCAGGTATTGAGGGACAAGGGCACGTAGTTTTGGTAAAAAAAATTTTCCCACTTTGACCGGGGAAAATTCATGTACTATATTTTATACTATAGATATATGTAGTGACTTATCCCCACAATTATCCCATTCAATGTTTAAATTTTGTTACATTCCATACGTAGCTATGGCTCAACATCTTTTGGCGCAAAGATCACGTGAGTTTTTGACTAATCTTGACTCTTTATTTCGCATCGCATAATCAAAGCTTGGCACCGCATCGTCCAATCGATCACGTTCTTTACCTTCTCTTTCTCCGCTCCGCCGTGGCCCTTGGGGTTTAGAATTTTCTATTCGGCGCCATCTTCAAATGATTGTCCTTTTATTTTCAGCTCCCCCATACTGCATTCGGCCGTTTCAAAATAGGACAATTGGTAATTCTATTTGTTCAATTTCTCTCTTCGGTTCGGGGCCTCCATCTTTGGAGTTGTAGAGGGCAAGCGTTTTATATTTTATAGACAGTCCACGTACTTCTTGCTAACACAACATATATATTATTTTTATTGATAATACATTAATCATGCGTGTATACAAGCCATTATCAGAAAATAGATTATTTTTGTTAGCCTAGTAGGTCGAGGAAGGACATAACGAAACACAAATAGTATTGTTTACAGTAAAGAATAAGCTGCTGGAAGACAATAGAAACCCAATAAATTTCAGGACACATTGCATCATAATGAAATGAGAAATAATCTTGCCAATGACATTATTATATTTAATAAAACGTTATCCATTAAGCGTAAAATCTTGTCGCAAATTGTAATATATATTTGATTGCTTTTGGCTCTTAAACCTAATGGCCCCTTAATAAAGTGGAGTAGCTTAAGGTGATACCTTGGTTTGACATCAGAAATAAATCCACTTAAGAGGGTCCTCACACCAACATTGGAGTAGGGGTATATTGTTAAAGGAGCTGCTAGACCTAAATGATGAGTATCAAATATCGGCATGAAACGAGGAGCAGAATCTGACTACCACGTGAGACTAACTCTGGATGAAGAAAAAATTGACGATGTGTGATGAAAGACTGGCTCTTCGAGGAATTCTTAAATAGGTTAGTTAGTCTGCTTTTCATTTCAAATGAAAAGTTTGATGGAAGAGATTCGTAGATTGGCCTCACCGGAAACCGAAAGAAGTGTAAATCGTTGAAATGTGCAAAAAATCCTCGGCCCACCATCCTGCGACCCTGATGAATCCATGCTAAGTTTTTATCTGTCATGTGACAGACATAGTCAGATATATAATATCATTTGCTTGGGCAATGCATAGCCAAACAAGTATTAAAATCGCTGTTTTAAACACTGGCTTGGTTAGCAAAAGAAATAGCTATTATTGCATCCGCTTCCTTCTCTTGCTTCAATCTTCTTCATCTGCAAGAGTGTAGGGAAAACAACAAATAGATAATCACATCACGTGATCTCGCGTTAGGTATAAAAGATGAGTATGCTTGCAGCTTGCCACTGTTCTTTCAGTATTTTCTATTTGGTGCATTTTTCCGTAAATGAAGGTTTCTCACTCTGAGGATTTCCATCACATTGTAGACAAAAAGTTAGCAAGGAATGATCAAAGTCGCAGGAGAGTGAGCAGAGAACTTACTCCCACTATTTAACGATCTCCATGTCAAGGCAATCCTTCTGTTTCCGATGAGGCCAATTCACAAATCGCCCCTATCCAACTGTTCCCTATAAATGAAAAACCGACACATTAAGATTGTCGATCATCGCAGCTAATAAACCGTTTTGGAGGCTGGAAGCAGCTTCAAATATAAATGAAGTTAAGACTAAGAAAGGTTCCAGCCACTGGCACCAGACCTCGTTACTGGGTGGACCAGAGCAGTCATGTAATAGGTAGTCATGATTATAATGTCTTAAATTAAAAGACAAATGCATTTTTCCCGTTGAAATAGCCTTATAAGAAAAGTATGATGTGATTCTAAGGAAACTACTAAAAGACCTAGTTGATGAAAACATAATACATCAAGCCGATAATAAATTATCAGAGAACAAAGCTCATATGCTGGTCCCAAAATGGAAAGTCGCTCAAAAAAACTGCTGATTGAAGGCGCTTTAGATACACCTTCTAACCCATCATTTAGATGAAAATACAGTAAGAATTAGCTCAACTGAGCCAAAGCCTATACGGTAGCGTAGTGATTTCCAACGAGATATGAAGTAGGTACGGGCACTAATGATAACGGCCCCTTGTTATGAGATACATAAGGACTGGGCACCAATGAGCATGACTCAAAAAAAAGTTGTTAGGCTGAGAGAAAAGGGTTAAGAGACCTGATTATGCCAATTACGTTTCATTAGGTCCATAAGGCGGAACTACTAAGTCATAGCCATGACAATAAAGAAACATAAAACGACAGAGCTTGCGAAGCAAGTAAAATGCACTTTATAGACGTGCAATTTCGAGCCGAAGCGAATCGTAAGATAATTCGAGTTAGGCAAGACTGTGCAGAAGGTGTTTGCGTCTCTAGGCTAGAGATACAGAGGGGTGAGAGACAATGGATGCTCTGAGTCAACTTATGAATAGGGCTGAAATGCGATGCGTGACAGGATGTCGAGACACATACGCTAGAATTGAAGACAAAAACAAAAATAGATAAAAGCCATTAAAAGGCTTATTTTCATTTTCGAGTGAAAAAGGGAGAAGGTCGAGAGGAGACTCATTATTTTCGCATATTGTTAGAAGAAGAAGAAGAGACAGAATTACGGTCATTTTTCGCTGCCTGCTGGGTAGAGACGAGCGATTTTTCGACAAGATCAACGAGATTGCGAGATTTTGGGCAATACTCGGCTTTGTAAGCTGGCCCCATAAATTCGAGATCATTTTCATTTTTAATGACTCCCTATTAAAATGAAAAATCACGAAATTAGTAAATAGATTGCTAGATGGCATTAAAGGCAAATTAAAATGAGGATAAAATTGATATCTTAGAGGGCATATGAGGTGATAATCGATTAGCCCAGTGCATTGATTTCATATTCTGTAGGTGAATTATCCTGAAATTTGTTTTATAATGACCTTAATTTATTCGCAATGTCGTCAACAGATGCTCGATAAAATTAAGCAAATATCCCCTAGCTGAGGAGCCCAACCAACGAATTTCTGCAAACTAGCCAGGAAACAGCAATCCCAGGTTAGTCGCCGCAGTACATGAGTCGGAGGCAATGAATCATGGGCAGATCCTTATTGAAATTTCTGATGGAAATTAATTCATCAGGACCAAGGTAAAAGTTACCTCTATATTTAAGTAGAATTAAAATATTGATTGTAGAATCAAAGAAGAGATAGAATAAATCAAAAGGTAAATTTGGTTTGAGTGTGAAAAAGCTTAAACATAAGTAACTTTACAAAATTGAATTTCCTATAATCCGTTTTTCATACAGCAATAATCAAATTCCCAGCATTATTCAGAGAAGCGAAATGACCATGATTGAATTAAATTGACTATGCCTCACTAAAAGCGTAGAAGCTTAACGAAGGGATCCTCGAGTATAAGCGAGCTCTATCACTCCTGCTTGAAAACTGTACCTAATTCGCCATAAGACAGCATATGTAACGTTCTTAAAATAGATGCCCATGCCATTCACAAGTGCCTAGAGCATTTCTTCAGAAAATTAAATTACAATAAACAAATTTATATCGGCACATATATTCATCATAAGTACCCTTTTATTATAAGTTATCCAAGATACGCAGACCAAGATATTGCAGCCTCCATTCTTTGTATAGGAATGGTCTGACCTTATTTTCGCAACTTGGCCGTGTTGTCAGGGCGATCTAGTTGGACGCATCTTGTCTGAAGTTCTCTTTTAGAGTAGTCATGATCATTCTCAGTGTTGGCCCGTGGACTTGTTACATTCCCATAGGTTTCTCAGGCACTGTCAGTGGGTCTTGCCATTCTTAAGGGCAAGCTACAACTCGTCGAAGATACATGTCTATAGTCTGACACTGGAGCCTAACCTAACTAGGTCGTCCTGAAAACACGAGCAAGTTGCGAAAACGAGATCAGACCACTTTTAATATAAGTTTTCTTCATTTGTAAGATGTTAAGAGACCATAGTATGCCCTTCTCGAGTGATTTCGTATCAAATTGATAGAAATTCTGTAAACGCAAAAGTAAAAGTAAGGCTTAATCTTCTCGTTGAATTTATATGCGCCAGACATCCCGAAATGTTGTTCTTATCAAGTTTGGAATGCAATATCGGCCTTGCCTCATAATCTCATTCGCACGCTTTGTAGGACCTGGATTGTGGACGTGAACGTGAATTAAGAAACAAAAATGTTACACCTGAGGCCCAAGATTTCAGTATAACTATATTAAATATCAAGCGTGACTATCAGAGTAAAGCAAGTCTCTTAGTCTAGTAAGAAATTAGTCGAAACTGGTATACCTCGACAGCAATCAGCATCTTCACAGCCGCGAAACAAAAAGTGCTACTAACAACTCGAATTAGTAGCATATCAAGTTTAATACCAAACACAAGGTTGCTTATTCATATAAAATTCACCAAAAATGATGTGAATTAAGAAATCATAGTTTTTATCATTATTTGCATAATATTTCCTAATTCAGATTCAACAGTGATCCCACTATGTTGTTTGAAGAGTTTATTCATAAATTACTGGATTGTTATAATAACTGTCCTATTAAATTACTTATAATGCAAGTATTTAACGTAAAACCTCTCCGCTTGATTATAGATTTATCATGTCATTCTCTTCAATATAAATATAAGTAACCTTGAAAATTAAACTTCATATAACCTGTTGGGCTCTATTGACCCCCATTTGTATACGAAAGGGTAGGAAGCGAAATGAATATTTTCAATTTTTCCCTATTAAACTACCAGAGAATCAAAACCAACAGAATTATTGACATGGATTCTAGAAATTCTTATCTCTAATAGCCACCTCACAGTCCCTGTCGTGGCGAAACTAGAAATCCCAATAAGGAGTTACGTAAAACGTCCGCGCAGAAAGTGGGTACCTTGGGCAGATAGCCGAAAAGCTGCTCAGCATGTTGCTGCAGGATGAGCTGGCGTTCTTCTTCGATGATACGTCGACGCTCTTCAGCAATTTGTTGTTCTTCCGCCAGACGTTCAGCTTGGCTGGCTCGCTCGACTGCTAAAGCCGTACGACGGGCCTCTATCAGCGTCTGCACTTCCCGTTGGTGCTCGAGCTGTTTCTGTCGCCGTCGCTGTGCTGACATCTGCTCTAAACGATCATCCTTAGCAAACTTTTCTAGCATAGCCTGACGATAACGCTCATCTTCCACACGCTCGAGCTGAAATAAATCAAAAAATAAGTGGATATGATGGCAGAGAATCAATTTGATCAAAGATGACACCAACAAGTTTAACAAACAGGCATAATTGAGTTAACAATGGAGGAGAAGCATTAATGTATGCAATATAACGACATAGTAGACACAGTCAGGGCCAAATTAAAATGGCTGCTCTTAACCGTTTGTAAAAGGGCCTTGTATATATCAAGTATTTGTGGTAAAGGTAGGTCGCGATTAATCTTCACCCAATACGGCCTTTTATTAATGACATCTATCAGTGAACCATGAGGAGCCATTCAATATGGCTACAAATAAGTGAACATCTCTTAAGCATATCAAGCCCCTGAAAATTGATCAAAGGTATGCGGATAATAAAAAAAAACAAGACTTAGTAATTCGAGTCAAAAGTATAGAATCGATTATTCAAGTCAAAATAAAACTCGGTCATTTCTTAATTTTAGTAAACAGTAGTTTTAGAAAATTTTTC